TACTCTTTTACTAATAACTCTAACCCTAAATCCTAACTTAACTATAAAAAAAAACGCTGACAAAAAAGCCCCAAAAATTTTTAAAAATCGTAGATAAAATAGATTCAAATTTCACGATGATCCGATTTCACCATGATCCGTGACATATAATAATAACAAAAAATACCGATACGATGCCAATATTTTAGGGTGTGGTCCACCAATCAAACGACCCTAATGTCCAGCACGAAATATTGTACGCGATGATGTATATATTGATCAGATTACAATTTTGACAAACATTGTCCTTTTCCTTCCAAAAGGTGTTGAATACGTGTGGTCAGAATTCTTCAGTAAGCTAGTCTTACTTATACAGTAATTTCGATTTAATAGTGCTACCTTTTAAAGCTACAGCAGCTACCCTGCATTTGTTTTCGCTTCCAGTAGTTTCTATTTTGGCACTTTAGTCATTTGGGTGCCATTATATACGTCCTGATTGAGAAGTAAGTCATTTTGATATTCAAAAAAAAAAAAAAAAAAAAATGCTATGGTTATATATGACTTCAAACAAGGTCTAAAGAATTAAATTCCTTATGAATATATCAGAGATAGCAAGCCTAAAGGCTGTGAGAAATGTCAACGACGGAACCTGAGCAAATGGAAATAGAAATTACGCATGAAGATATTCTCGAATTTCTTCATCAAAAACAAAATTGTGATATCGAAGGAGCAAAAAAATTTTTAGAATACGGCTCGACTTACCTTCTGGCTTGCTATAAAGAAAATGTTCCGGCTCATTGGTTTTGCAGCGAAGAATTCGTGGAAATTACGACAGAATTACTACATATATTTGCATTGAATAATACTAATGAACAGGTTGAAGAATTTAAAAATGTAATGGCTGATCAGCTGTCTAACTGTGTCGATTGTGTTGAAGTATATTACATTTATAAAGAAGATATGCGTCAAAGGTAAAGTCTATTTATCTAATCGTAAGTGATAATTATTAAACATAATAGCAATTTTTTATTTTACAGATATCTGAGAGCATATAACAATACAAATGATGTAAATGTGCTTTTTGACGTCACTATAAAAGCCTGGGACAGATGTCGTGTTTACAGTGCTCTACAAAACTTGAGTCTGCAACTAGAAAAATTAACCCCAGACATACTGACATCAAATTCAACTATTGCAATATTATCAGAGATTATGTTTAATCCGTCTTTACTTGCTGATCGTTCGATCAGCTCGCTCTATGTCGATTTGTTTCTTTCCATCCCGCAGAATATTTTAAAAGAGATGTGTAAAGGCTTTTTGCCCGGAATGATTATTGTATCGGTTCATGAAAATGATGATTTCAGACAATTATTCTGGAAAATAATGCAAGGATTTCAATTTTCAGTCAAATTAGAAGATTTCAATGCTCATGGATATTCTGGCCCAATGCAAAGTGCAATCCGCCGTCTAAAAGATTGGAATCTTAGAAGTCCACATTTTCAAGAATATCCATATACAAAAAATCTCAGATTGTATTGGAAAGGCCTTAGGAAAGTGCTTTGCTGTCTAGATTCATCTACAATTATCTTCGGGTTGTGTCATGAACCTACCGGATTTTGCAATTTGGTTGTTTCCACTATCAAAAATCAAGAGCAACAAGAAATTGAGTTTGTTGAAATTTTGAAATGTTTACAAGTTCTTCTGAAGATAATTAAGAATGAATTTTGGAACTACTCATCAGTAACTGCACAAGATTTAATGACTGAAATATTTAATAGTCCAGTTTTTCATAAAGCCTCAGAATCTCATCCGAAGAAATGCAAACATCTATTAGGATGGGCTCCTGCGTTTGTTGAGTCATCAATGAATCTTGTACTAACCATTTTAGAGTATTTGGTGCATTCGTTTCAGAAGAACTCATGGTCTAATGAATTGGCAGAAGAATCTTTGGATGTGGCGTTAAAGATATTGAGAATACACAACCTCAAAATTGACCCAGCATTAAGTCTAAAACTCAAAAGTGTAGCCTTAAATGAAAATATTATGATGTTTCATAAGGTTCCACTTGGAAGTCGACGCCTTTCTTTGATTAATGAAATATTATCTCTCAATACCACAGGCAATAATACTATGTCTGCGTCAAACAACAATACCATGTCTGTGTCAAACATAAATACCATGCCTGCTTCAAGCATCAATACCATGACTAATTCAAACATCAATACTATGTCTGCTTCAAACATCAATACTATGTCTGCTTCAAACATCAATACCATGTCTGCTTCAAAAATCAATGCCATGTCTGCTTCAAAAATCAATGCCATGTCTGCTTCAAAAATCAATACCATGTCTGCGTCAAACAACATTAATGCCCCGCTCAGCAATGGTACACTATCAAATTCAATTATTTTGGGCTCTACAACGTCAGGATCTTCAGGATCATCTTCAAGTACAAGCATTTCCCAAACCCCTGTAAATTCTGATGTTGTTTTGAAGAAACCAATGCCTAAGCCTTCTAGTATGAGAAAACCAATCTCAATGAACACATCAAGTAAAATATTTCCTAATAAAAAAGGAACGATAAGCAAAATGATGGATGCATTCATTAAAGAAAATCAAATCAAGAATAAAGAGAGACAGGATATGATGCATCATGCAAACACATCAAACACATCTAGGATATCAAATCAAAGACTCAACTCTATTACGAGTACTTCAGGAACATTTGACGTAAATACCTCTAGTACTTCTAGGATAGCAAATAATAGACACAATTATATGGCAGGTGATAAACCATTAGATTCAACCGAATATACTCCAGGTACTCTTAATCCTTTAGAATTCAACGTAGTACAGCCTAAGCCTTTAGAACAGCCTCGACGAACGAAGTTACTCGACTTCCGTGAAGTCATTTCTCATCACAGAGCACTACAAGATAACAAACAACAAGAGAGGATTATACAAATGCGAAGGAGGGAAGACACTATGAAACGGCTTAGGCCAAACTTAAAAAGCCTCCACAAACAAGTTTTAACGTGGAATATTGATTCTATGGGAGAAATGCCTCCAAATATACTTAGGAACGAATATAGACATATTCCAGACCAATTTCAGACGGCGGAAGAATATATAAGCATTTTTGAACCACTTTTAGTACTTGAGATATGGCAAAGTTTTATCTCAGCAAAAGAAGAAATCGATGATAGTGATTCTTATGCTATTGTTATAGACAGTAGTGTGTCTATTGATGATTTTATAGAAGTGTCGTGTCATTCCGCGGATCAAGGACAACTAAAAGGTCTGTCAGAAAATGACCTTGTAATAGTGAAACCAGCAAATTATAAGGAAATATCCTCTTCGGACTCTCTGAGATCCAAAATTTTTCTTGCTATAGCTAAGAGTATTGTTTTTAATAAATTGAATATGCACTGCTATTTCAATAATGATCCTCATAACATCAGAGGTGAATTGAGGCCGCGGAGTTCATGGACGGTTGAGAAAGTCATAAGGTGTGGTAATTTTATTTTGGATTGTTATATTGCGCTGTACTTATTTCAATACTTTTATAGTTATTCGTTTATAATTGTAGTTTAACACCTGCAGCGCGAGAATATGCTGCACTAATGGCAACACCGTATTTTAAATACATTAATTTGATCATGCAACCAAGATCTCCCATCGTTCGACAATGCCCGAGAGCACAATTAGAGCGATATATCAATATGTACAAAATTAATGAATCACAGGCTGAGGCTGTATGGAAAGTTTTAAACAATAAAGATAATATCTCCTTAGTGCAAGGGCCACCAGGAACTGGTAAAACAAGTACAATAGTGAGCATTATAAGTGAATTGAGATCAACGTCCCCTACTTATAAACCACGAATTTTAGCTTGTGCACCTTCCAATGCTGCTGTTGATGAAATTGAAAAAAGACTTCGAGAAGGTATTTTTGACTCTAATGGTAACCTTGAAAGAGTTGCTGTTGCTCGGTTTGGGAAATTTGAGAACGATACTGATGAAGAGACGAGCAATCTGAAAGTACGAATGTCAACCCTTTTGCAAGAAGTTAACGAAAAAAAGCGTCGCCGTCAGGATCCACGAATAAGTGGATGGGATGCTGAAACATTTGATGCTCAAATAAACAAGATTAACGAAGAAATTGAAAATATACGAAGAACACTGCGCGATTCTGATGAGAAAAATGAAAAACCTAAACGCATTGTTAAAGAACTTAATGATGCAGACATTATTTGTGCAACATTGACTGGGAGTGGTCATGATATTTTGGCGGATATCGCTTTTCAAGCGGTAATCATTGACGAAGCGGCACAAGCTATCGAATTAACATCTCTCATACCTATGAAGTTTAATCCAAGCTGGTGTGTTCTTGTTGGTGATAGCAATCAATTACCACCAACAGTTCTCAGTAGAGTTGCCACTGATTTCTGTTACGAGCAAAGCTTATTCACCAGAATTCAAAGGTGTGCACCTGCTTCAGTCCATATGCTGAAGATGCAATATAGAATGCATCCAGAGATTTGTAGATTTCCCAGTAAATTATTTTACGATTGTGAATTATATAATGCAGGAGGATTACTGCAAATTCGAACTCAAAGATGGCATGCAAAACCAATCTTTGGACCTTATAGGTTTTTTGATGTGTTAGGTATTATGGGGCAAGATCAAAATTCTTTTTTTAATAGGGAGGAAGCAGTTATTGCCATTAGACTAGTTGAAACGCTTATAAGAAATTTTCCAGAAATCGATTTTAAGGATCGAATTGGAGTAATAACACCATATAAGCGACAACTTGCTGAACTAAAACGACTGTTCGCCCAAAAGATTCCTAGTGATTTATACAAGGAAATGGAGTTTAATACTGTAGATGGTTTTCAGGGGAAGGAAAAGGACATTATCATCTTTTCATGCGTTCGTGCTGGAAGAGAAAGCAGCGTTGGATTCCTGAAGGATATAAGAAGAATGAATGTTGCGCTAACTCGTGCTAAGTCTTCATTGTTCATTCTTGGAAATCGGCAAACGCTTGAAAAAAATCCACATTGGAAAGAATTGATTGAAGATGCAGTGCAAAGGGGATTGTACACTCGTGTAAGTTTTTAACGCTTATGGCTATATTTTTTATAAATACTCAGAGAATTTACTTTGTTATTTTTATTTTAGTGTTCTGGTTATCAGTTTGTAGCTAGTCTTAATGCAGAAGTTGGGCGGTCGAACGAATTCAGGGTAAGTTTTTTGATTTGATGTTGGAAGTAATTCATTTTGAGAATAACAAAGATGTGTTTGTGTAGAGTATGCCTATGGCTTCTTTCCAAGATACCGGAGACATTCCACGAGAGAATTTAGTTGGACATCATATAAATGAAATGGTAAACTCAAGATATGGTCGTGGGGGTAATCGCGGAAGAGGTGAATGGCATAATAAGCGTAATTTTAATGTTAATCAACATGATGGAGGGATAGCGCGTCGAGGTAATAAAAATAAACGATTTAAGCGGGGATAGCAGATCCGAAAAATTTATTATGTGTAATGATGTGTAATTGTTAATATTGATTTGCAATAAGTTTTAAACTTGGGATAACTCTTCGCACCAAGGTGCAGAGTAATGTTTTAAATATAGACAAGATTACGTACAGATGTATTGTAATAAACGCAAATCTTAATAATGTCTGGAGGGCAAGTCTATAATAATACTTTTGCATTAACAACTTCATTATTTCAATTTGAAGGTTTATTTTGTAGCAGTTTATTAAAATATTAAATACTTAATATATTGAATACTGTTGTTATCAAATTGTTTGTTTATTTTATAATTATTGAATTTACTTGTTTAGTATTAATGTTTTTTTTTGTATCTGTTTATAAAATTGGTGTTAATTTTATTTTATTAGTTTATATTAGTTTGTATTTAGTATATTGAAAATAGTTTTTTAAAAAATATATAAAACTAGTATAATAGGTTTTTAAAAAATTTAAATAAGCAAATTTATAAATTTTGTATTGCAAAAAATTATTATATTTAAAATAAATTAAAGAGTTTATAATATATTATGGGAACAGGTATTTCCACACCCGATTTTGGTATTTCCACACCCTTAATCACGTGCACATTACGTAAGTATAAATATG